AGAGAGAGAGAGAGAGAGAGAGAGAGAGAGAGAGAGAGAGAGAGAGAGAGAGAACTTGTGCCTATCTTTCTCTATCAACGGCAATACACGGATACATGGATGACGATGAATTGATGGATGGTGATGGGTGGGTGTGTGGGTGGACGGATCGGTTGATGGATGTCCATGGGTGGGTGGGTGGGTGGGTGGGTGGATGGATGGTGATGGGTGGGTGAATGGGTGAACGGATAGATGGTTGGATAGAGGGAGGGAGGGAGGGATTGAGGAAGGGAGGCATGGACACATGCATGTATGGACAGATCGACGCCAGCCACTCAACCGACTCTCCAAATAAGAGCAATACAACGAACACAAATGTCAATGCCGACGCTCTCTGGTCTCACCAATATAGTTTCCAATGTCGCTCCTACTGTCTGGCACCCAACTTCCAGCCTACAGTACTCAGCCAATATATCCTATCTACGTTCATCCAACAGGAACACGTCGAAGTTGAAGTCCGATGTACGTGACGTCATTCGCCAATGCAGACCGCCAGCATACACCAAGTACGTGTCTTGCACCTCCCCTCAACACCCTTGACTCCCCACTGCATGCGCCTCCTACCTGGAGACCACCATCGCCATCACCGCGCCTGCACCCAGCAGCCCTGCTTTGACCGTCGTGCGCCCGCTGCCACAGCAACGCCCCCTTTCTCACCTCTGCGCCCGTGAACATGTCTGGCCCACAGCACTAGCGGAGCTGCTTCATGCGCTAATGCAGAGAGTGGCTGCATTGCCCACTCAAGCCAGCATATTCAACCCCTGGGCGCTCACTTCCTTTGTGGGAAGTGAGCCTTGTTGCTGGATGGTCTGGGACTGGCATGTATGGGCCCAGTAGCTTCAGGTTGGCCGAAAGTATCTGCGCCCAGGCCCAACTTCAAATACTGGTCTGGGCCCCGTGCAGTTAGGCACGTCCAGGTAGCCCAAGCCCACGAGGCGGCACGTCCAGGTAGCCCAAGCCCACGAGGCTCCAAGTGTTCAGCGCGATCTCATTGGCTCGTGGCATGTGTGAGGCGCAGGAGCTGCTTTCTCATTGGTGTGCGGCCGCTACGTGACATGTCGGCCTTTGAATGCGTGTGCCCAGGGACTCAACCGATTCCCTGGGCTCAACTGTACGGCACAGCTGTTGCTTCTGGAAGGATCCAGGGAAGGCTCATGTTGCTCTGTAACCAACTGGCGTGCTCGAACTGTCTGATACCACACATACGAAAAATGGCAAAAATAGGCCGCACAAAAATATGCAGGCCCGCCTTCACTTAGGGTGGGCATGAGGCTTGCTGGGGCGTTGAGCCCAGAACATGTGTGTACCCCAAAGGGCCTTATGAGGGCACAATCCTTGCACAGTGGATGTTGTGGTGAAAATTCACAGCACACACAGACAGAGGCACACACACACACACACACACACACACACACACACACACACTTATTAGATTGCGGTGAAACAATGAAAGAGAATTTATTTATTTCTTTGAAAAAAATTGCTCTTTCTTTTTTTTTTTTTTTTCAATGCAGAGCACATGGTTTTAGTTGGAAGCACCAATCAATCAATCAATCAATCAATCATTTGATTCATTTGTGGCTTGCTAGCTTGATTGATTGATTAATTGATTATTAATTGATTTTTTTGTTTTTTTGTTTTTTTGTTTTTGTAAGGCAGAGGGGGATTTGGCAAACTTGCTGGACCCCCGAATGTGAATGAGATATTTGGGGGAGAGGGGGGTCAACCGTCAACATAAGCATCCATCTACAGATGTCACGGTCTTTAATGCCCTTCTCTCTCTCTCTCTCTCTCTCTCTCTCTCTCTCTCTCTCTCTCTCTCTCTCTCTCTCTCTCTCGTCCTTTAGGATTTGAACCTCATCCTTTAGTTTGTCACAGCCCCTCGTTTGTTGTCCTCTTCTCCCTCTCTGCCTACGGACTACCGGGCAGCTCTGTTTGATGTATATATGTATATATGCGAGGTACGAGCCCTCACGAGGCCCTATCAGACATACACATGTTCTGGGCCGAGGCCCCCAGTAAGCCTTGTCCCCGCCCTAAGTGAAGGCGGGCCTGAATATTCATCAAAGGCAAAATTCGACATTTTCATATGTGGGTATTCAGGCTCTTGCAGAACGCCAGTTGGTTGAGTGGACGCGTGAGCCTCACTAAGCTGCGTCGTACAATTGGCCCAGGCCTCGGCAGTTGCGCCTGGGCACATACACACAAAGCAGGACCGATACATCTTGAAGTGGCCACAGGCAGATGTAAAAGCAGTACTGACAAAGTACCTACCCCCGGGGTCCTGTGCAAATGCAGCAAACGGCCCAAGTCCAGAAACTCAGGCGGTATCCAACTGTAAAGGGCCCAGGCCCTCAACCGTAGTCTCGGGCCTGGGCGCAGGAACTGAGGCCCCACCGGAAGGAAGGAAGGAAAGCTCCGCCTGTTCATCACCTCTTATGTACAAGGCCAGCCACGTCGATGACAGGTTGAGCGTTGGCTGCCCCCATCCCCATGTGTCACAAGGACCCACTTGCACGCAGCCAAAAGGCAAAGAGGTAAAGAAAAGAAGGAGGAAACCAGACCTCACAGAGGCAAAAAAAAGAGAAAGTGATTCAGTCAAAGAAAGGACAAGGGAAGAGGAAGGCCTATCAGTCAAACAAAGCAAATGACACATCCCACAGATAAACCAATTGCCACTGTCACAACAAAGTTCAACATGTTTTTTCCTTTTTTCTTGTTTTCTTTCTTGTTTTCTATAGCAATTTGTTCTTTTTTTCTTTTATTCAGCAATGTATATGGACCTGTTACGATCCTGGTCATTTCCCAAGTGCAAATTCACAATGAAAGACAATGCCACCCAATTGCGAAAGAAATGAAAGCACTTGCAAAGAGATAAAGACCAGAGGAGAGAGAGAAAGAAGAAGAAGAAGAAGAAGAAGAAGAAGAAGTACACCAGCAATCCCCCTTCTCTCTCCACCTTCTTCCTCCTCCTTCACTTCACCAATCTTATTCTTCTCTCAATAATAATAATAACAATGAATGGATGAACCAGAATCAATATCCGAAGTTCCCTCTTACTGCTGACTCAAC